TCCTCGCCGTCCCGCTGTTGTGCGCCTAGTGTCTGCTCACTAGACCGAGGGTTCCCCGAGACCACATTCGGGGGGTCCTCTCTTTGTGGCTCCTACTGCCTTGCAAAGTGTCCGGGGATTGATGTGAATATTTGTCGAATGAATGAATGAGCGAAATAACGCCAGAACCAAGTGTAGCTGCGGAGAGGGTTCTGAATCCAATTTTCTTAAATCCTTTTGGCCTTTCTCCCCTCTTACCACGTTTGAAACACAAAAAGAAATAGGGTAGAGAGAGCTGCCTTTCTATTCACCAAAGTGTCTTCTGCTGGGAAGAGATGGATTTTTTTTTTAACTGCATTGCTACTCTGGTCGGTATAATAGCAGCGAGATACCTGTCTTTCCCACTCAGCACATTGAGAACCCGTAGAACAACTCTGTGAGTTAGACGGAGCAGACAGGATTGCCTCCCTTTCACGAAGAAGGAACTAGCTCATAAGAAGAGGAACGTGGACAGAACTCAGAGAGACTGATTCCAAATTCTATTTTTCACGAAATTCCAGGAATAATTGATGACAAGCTCTGTCTTACGTCCCTATTTTAAAGAAATGATTGGAAAGAATACATACGTATATACTTCTAGTACACACCCACATATACACATTTTTTTCTTCTTATGAGTGATATTTTTAAGCACTCGAGTTTTGTGTTTGGAAAATATTCCAGCATCTATTTTAGGGACAGAATTCCTTCCCAATACATTCAGTCGATTAATTGTTAAAAATCTTTTATTTGCACTCCACTTTCATAACGTTAACATTAATTTGCTACTTTAATATGGCTATCAATTTAATATCCCAATTCCTCCATCCAAATTCCACCTGAATTTCAAAAAACCATTTGCTGTTTCTTGACAAATGAATTTCATAGATGAATTGTGTAAATTAACTTAGTACTAGTTCTAAGTGTTTCATAGCTCTCATGATTGACAAGAGTGATCATTTTATCTTAACTTGAAACTTTCCATTATTCTGTAAACCTTAGTCATAGTCTGTATTCTTTTCTAAAACTGAATGGATCAATGTATTTATTCTGACCCGAGGAAGGGGAAAATGGAACTAGGAATGAAATTTAAGGAAGTTTCAGGATGCCCAATATCACTCACAACGTGTAACTCTTTACCATTGATAAGTACTTTCATGTTCGTTATTTCCTTATAGGCTCAGATGTACCACGTGACACAGAGTAACAGGTGTTAGTATATCTCCTTTCAGCAGATTAGGAACCTAAGGCTTAGAGAGAATAAAAAATTTGTCCAAGAGGATACATCTAGTTCAAGTGCAACTAAGGTAAGAGCTAGATCATTTTACTCCAAATCCAGTGTTCCGCAAACTCTGTTCAAAAATTAAGGTGAGTAGGTTTCTTTAGTGGACAGAATCTCGCATAGGTAATAGTAGATGTATTTAAAGCCATATTTTCATGAGAAAGAATGGATGTGAGTGGGGCTTGCAAAGCATGAGTATGTGGGAATTTTCATACTGTGACAGATTTTAAGAAAATTTCAGTATAGAATAGAATACCCCATTTAATTTAATACAAATAAGGATTTTCATTCAGGATGAGATTTAAGGCTGAAAGTGCAAAGACCCCCACCACCACTGCCTTTCTGTTACTCCTCGCCATCAGGAAAGAACTACAAAGACTTGAATTGAAATGTAACTGTTATTAGATCTTTTCAGGTGAAATCATTTTGAAAGGAATGAGGAGAGGAATGAGAATGATCTGTGGAAGAAAAGCTAAGGGACCAATTATATAGAATAAATAATAATCAGTCATACACTGAACCTTAAAAATTGAAAACCCTTCATTATCAAAACAGTTTTCATGCCAATATTTATCATAGTAGTATAGAAAACAAATATAAAGCTTCAATTTATACAAGGTTATATAAATTAGCTTGATGTCTATCTGTTTATCAACAAGGGAAATATTTATTTTTGTATCATTTTCAAAAGAAGTTTCAAAAATTACATGTTACAATAAAAAGCTATGACTACCTTATGCATGGAAAGTATTTTAGAAAAAAATTTAAATAATACTACAAATAATGAAATTACCATAGAATTGGAAGAAATCATTAAGGGGACCTAGTCCAGCCCTTGATTTTACACAAAGAAACTCAGACCCAAAGAATTAAAATGATTTAACTAGTTTCATTTCTAGTTAATGAAAAAAATAGAGATTAGAACCCAGGTTTTTTTTTTTTCCCTTATTGTAACATGCTACTGCTCTAAGTGGAAACAACTTTAAGGAGTTTTACAGAGATGCTTCAATGCATATTCTAGTTGAGAAAATAACCATTCAGGAAGAGGAGATTCAGTCTTCAGAACCAAGGCCACCCTAGAGACAGCACTGCCCAATAGAAATATAAAGCACACCACCACCGTGCAATTTAAAATATTCTAGTAGTCAAATTTAAAAAGTAAAAACAAACAGGTGAAGTTAATTTTAATAATATATTTATTTAACCCAGTATATACAAAACATTATGTCAACATATAGTCAGTACGAAAAAATTGAGATATTTTATATTCTTTTTTTCCCATACTAAGTCTTCGAAATCTGGTGTGTAGGTTATTTATTTTTTACATTTTTTTTATTGAGTTATAGTCATTTTACAATGTTGTGTCAAGTTCCAGCGTAGAGCACAATTTCTCAGTTATATTTCCCTGTGCTATACAGTATAATCTTGTTTATCTATTCTGCATATGCCTGTCAGTATCTACCAATTTTGAATTCTCAGTCTGTCCCTTCCCACCCCCAGCCCCTTGGCAACCACAAGTTTGTACTCTATGTCTTTGAGTCTGTTTCTGTTTTGTATTTATGTTCTTTTTTTTTCTTTTTTTCAGATTCCACACATGAGCGATCTCATATGGTATTTTTCTGGTGTGTAGGTTATACTTGCAGCACAGTCAGCTCATAGAGCCATATTCAAGTGCCCAATAGCCACACGTGTCTGGCGGCTACCATGCTGAACAGCACAGCCCTAGAATAAGGGTGCCTGGAACTGAAGCCCTTCATTAAGTGTGAAGTGTCATGCAGAGAGAGAGATTCTAAATAATTTGGGTCTGATTTGAAAGAGGTTATGAAAGCCTCTTCCCTCAAAACCCTCATTAACCTTGTCTGGGTTGCGAGAGGGATTGGACGTCTGAGGAAAAGTGCACGCCTGGTCCCCTTAGCCAGGCAGAGTAAGGCCTTTCACTGCACCGTGGCTCATAGTCCTGTTAATTCTCCTAGTCAGGGCTGCTTTTCCAAAGAGAATTCCGACTTGATGGGAGGGCCTTACCTCTGAGTCTTCACTGGCCAGGGGCCCAGGTGCCACGGAAGCACGTTCTCCTGGTGGGAATCAGGAACACCACGTCTTATTTTAGCTTCAGAAAACAAAACTCAATTCTTTGCAAAACAGCTATCATGATTTTTTTCCCTATACTTTTCCTTCTTAGAGATCCTTAGTGTTTTGGTTCTGTGGTTTTGAAAATGTCATTCTCTCTCGGATATTAAGGGGAACCAAAGACTTTGTACAGCCTTGAGCTAAAGTTATCTGGGTGGAATAGCTTATTTCCTGGAGTCAGGCATGGCAGGGTTATCATGGAAGTGAAAGGTTCCCAATGGGGAAAACAAATGTGGGACCAAGCATCAACTCTTTCCAAGAGCTCATCTCTGTTAAAACCTTTCAGGTCCTGAGCTAATATGATAGTCAGAAATTA